GGACGCCTATCTCCCTCCCTCCTGTACATTTTCTTGAATGTGACTTTTTCCACAGCTTTAAATGTGTTTCCTGTGTGATGGTGTGGTATTACAATTATTTTATGAACAATTGCAGTGTCAGACACTGAATTTTGGGTAACACTTAGACCTTTCTTTGTTTTTTTGTCTTCTATAGGTTTCAGTTTTTCAAAAAAGTGAATTGAAGTGAACATGCCAAAATCAAGTGCTGCCAAAAAGACCTTCACTCTTGAAGATAAGAAAAGCATTATTGAGAGACTGCAGAATGGTGAAAGGCAGGTTGACTTGGCCAGTGAATTTGGCATAGCCAAGAGCACCATAGGCACAATGTGGCAAACCAAGGACAAGCTGCTAACAGCATGTGAGACTTCTGCAAAGGGTTCAAAAAGGATCTGCAACAAGAAACAAAGGCACCCACTTCTGGATGAACTTGAGAAGCTTCTCCTCATTTGGATTGAGGACATGCAGATGAAAGGTGAACCCATGTCTGGTGAGCACATCTGCAGAAAGGCCAGGAAGATCTTTGAAGACCTTGTGCAAGAGTACCCTGAAGGGGAGTCTGTTGTTGATGATGAAGAGGAAGAAGACAACAAAGGATTCAAAGGTTAGAATACCCAAAGTTATGAAGTGTTTCAGGAAGTAAAAAGAATTTATTTGGATTTCTTCCAGCTAGCAATGGCTGGTTCAATAGGTTTCAGAAAAGGACTGGACTGAAGAATGTACAGCTGGCAGGAGAAGGAGGAAGTGCTGATCATGAGGAGGCCAGAAAGTTCTGTCAAACATTCCAAAAAGCACCTCCTGATGAAGAGGACAAGGAAATCATGGAAGAAATAATTGCCAGTGCCAACAACTTACAAATGACTGTTCTTGCAGAAGATCTCAATGAACCTGTCATGGAAGACACTCAAGACTTGGGAGTGGATGAGCTGAGGGAAATGGCAGCTGAAAAAGCTGAGGTTCAAAGAAATATCAATGAGTTGAGGGCACCACAACAAAACTAAGGAGGCCTTTTCAGTGTTTTTAAATTGTTCTTCATGCAATGAATTGTTTTACACTCTTTCATTATTTCTGAATTTTTCAGATTGCCTTCTGCTGATGATAAAAAATTGGCCCTCAAGTCAACTGTCATCAAGGAGACTCTCATCCAGTGGAAGGCAGTTCAAACCATCTTCAAAGAACAACATCTGAACAACATTCAAGTCCAACAAGCTTTGGATGTTCTGGACTCTGTTTGTGGAAGGCATTTAACTGCCCTTCTCAAAAGTAGGGAGAAGCAAACATCCATCAAAAGCTTCTTCTCTCCTGACAAAGCTGGGCCATCAGGTTACAAAGCTCAGCCCTGCAAGAGGGCATATGACTCAAGTGACTCTGATCAGTGATTTTTTGTGCAATTAAAATGAATCTCTGATTTTAATTGAGTGAAGAACTGTGGTTACTTTTTGAATGTAATGGCAGTGCATAAAGCACAGTTGTTGGAATACACTCTTTGATTAATTTTTTTCTGAATTTTACCTTTAGAAAATTTTGCCTGACACCAATTAAACATTTCTCCCTTATATCTTAAGGGAGAGACTACCTCGCTTATCGTTTTTTCCCGCTGCACCAACTAAAAACGTTAAACGAGGGTTGACTGTACAGTATATGCATAAGCAAAGTTCCTTCTTCACGCAGTGCATATACATTACTGTTACTTCCAATGATAGCGCATAAAAACGTCGCATCATCAGATGAAGGCTGACTTAATAACTTTGATGATTATAATATGTCAAATCAAAATTTTCAGTTGTCATAAATACAGTATACTGCGACTCCGTCAATAAGTTCTATCACCATTTTCAACTTCTGAACTCGCTCACAGCTATGCTGAAGGCGGCGATTTTTGTTTCACACAATTGGGGCCTTCCAGATATTTTGGGGGTTCTCGATATATAATTCTCTTTGTAGATTAACAAAGGATGAAGCACTGGACATTGTATAACAATTGATGAATAGTTATAAATTCTAGCTCCAAGATTATTTCTACTTGTCACCAAGATTCTATTCATACGTACTGTATGAATATGTACAGTATTGTATATACATTTTAGTCTAACAAAAATTGAAGAAAATCCATTTGATGAAATAATCGCATGACTTCGCACGGAACACAATCAATGCGCGATTCATGATAGATTCATCTCGTAAATAAATCACACTATCAATTCAAAAAATGTCCTCCCGTTTTATCAGGAAGAAGAAATAAATAATCACCTGCAATCGCTTCACCGAAATTATTCTATTTCAACAACTCGAAACAACCTAAAACTAATAGCCAGAATGTTTTTCTCGAACACTACCTCCGATCTTAGATACAACGGATGAACACCGACTGCAGAGGAGCCCAACTTCCTCAGCACAATATTTTCTGCATCGTGGACACCTGGACGTTTTTGCTAACTTCACGTGCACAATGAATCCCTCGCCCTTTGCAGCACCCGGTACTTCTCCGAACTGTTCCTCACACTTTCCGTTGATCACCAGACAACATTTTGCTGCTTGGAGAACTTCACACAGATCAGAGAACGACGAAGCCTCTTCCTTTTGCAAAATCTTGAAAATAGGACGTTTGAAACATAAAAAAATATAGACCCTAACTTCATGCACTGGAATCTCATCACAGGGGAAATCTAATTTTTAAAAAATTTCCGACAGTGGTTAAAAAAAATGAAGGAAAAAGTTTGATAATTTGGCGAAAAATTAGAGAGAGAAAAGAATAATATTCCAAGCAGAGCCCCACGCTGACACTGGACTATTTTTTGGAAATTGAATCGAAGGTATTTATACGCTACGTTTAAAAAATAAACTCAACTTTCCTGCCAAATCAAAGTACATTGAGCCATAAAATGAGGGGAGAAATGAACGGAATATCGGAATTTGAATGATTTATAATCTAGAATTTTCAGCTGAGACGAAATTTCTCATCTCGAAACGGTTGACTATTTCAAATCCGCTCTACACGAAAAAAATGATCCTGTTTAAAAAAGCGTACCGAAAGTTTTCGTCCAACGTCGTCACCAGCAAAAATATTAACATCCTGTTGCATCAACGGAATGTGCCCAGATATATTCGTCGCCAATCGACGGACTTCTTCAGCAGTTTCAATTGCTTTGAGAACTTCTTCATTGTACCATTGTGTTGGTAACGGCTTCAAAACTGATTTGAACAACCGGCCGCTCAAATTTGACGATGGCGGTAAAAAAGACCAAGCTTCTTCCGCCATATGAGGTACAATAGGTCCAATGATTTGCAGGAACCTAAACAGGGCTTGGTAAATGCTGAACTGCGCACTGACTCTGGAAGCTGAATCTTCATTTTCGCAGTACAGCCTGTAAAGAATATACAAACACGCTAAAAAAGGTCCGTATACGTTTTTTTCAAGAACAATAATATTCCACTGAACAAAGATAAATAATGTGTTTTGTTCAGATATAAAACCATTGTAAACATGTCAAGCATCAATGGGAAAATTGACAAGGGATTAAATCTGGTCAAGTTGCTCAGCAGAAATCTCCGAAAAAAAAGGGTTACAGTCTCGTTTTGCGCAGATCTCAGTGAAGATTTTCAATTCACGCCTCTATAAAGTTGAGTTTTACAGAACAGCACTGGGGTTTAAATCCAAATGAAGGCCATGGTTCAGATTTGGTAACGGTTTATGCTCATATATTTTTCCTACTGTATCGATGTAAATCCACCGAATTTTCCTCATAAAAACGGCGCGGAAAATTTCTCAGCTCAATCATGAAAAATTTCTTAAAATGCTCAAGAAAAAACGCAAAAAAAACCAGTTTCAAGCGTGAAACTCACCTATCTTTCATCCAATGAACACAAGCGGAAACAGCATCTTGCAAAAACTGGGAAGACAAATTGGCGACTCTATCTACCATCCACTCGTCATAAAGCCTCAAACAACGCTGCTCAAAGTCAGCCACGAGATGCAACAGGTATTTGTCTACAACTTTGAGTTCCTCGTATGTTAAAGTGATTTCATCAGGATGGAAGTCATTCAAAGTTCCCAGCAAAAACTTGAGCACGTTTCTGCTTTTATCTAGGTCCTTGTCAACTTCCGCGAGGATTCCCGCACCAATTCGTATCCGAGATTCATCGCATCCGTAATTCACAGCCCACCACCTGCAAGCCAGAGGTGAACAACTTCAAACTTGTTAAAATTTGCTTACATTTAAAAACAGAGAAATCATGTAACTTACCGTAACACGTCGATCCCATAAGCCGCTTCTCCCTTCCTACCCTTCAAAATAGATTTCGAGTCTACGACATTTCCAAGAGACTTGGACATTTTCCTCCCCGTTTCGTCCACCACGAACCCATGAACCAGAAGTTTCCTTCGATAATTATACCAATAAGAAAAATATGCGTAAGAGTTTGCCAAAAAAGGAACTTACTTGTAAGGAGCGACGTTCCTCATGGCAACACTCGTCAGGAGCGAAGACTGAAACCAGCCTCCAAACTGATCAACTCCTTCCAAATAAACATCCGCACGTTTTTCAGTTTGCTCCTTCGAGTGACACGCCCAAGAAACCCCACTATCGAACCAAATGTCCAAAATGTCTCTGCCAAGAGCGACATCTGGAGATTTCTTCAACAGAGAGGACGGAGCAAACTTGGATGCCTCCAACTGCCACCACGCATCCAACCCAAATGTGTCAATCGCGGATTTTATACTTTCAGTTATATCCCTGTAAATCCAAAAATACAAAGTAACATAAGAATTTTAACTGGGCCCTGGAATACGGAAAGACTGAGGAGAACTGCGAAGAGTTGAGGCTAAAATACAAGTTTAATTCAACTGCTTTAGTGATGCTCAGATTCTTTCTTTTTTCTTTTTAGAGATTTACAGAATTGAAAGTCTATCGACATTTTGGAATTCGGAGTAATTTCTCGCATTTTTTCAGCAGTGGATTTTTGCGCAGTAAAAATTTATTTAGAAACAAGCGTTTTTTAAATGCTTTTTTAACAGCAATCGAAGTGGACTCTCTCTACAACAATCATATCGACAACAATGTTCTCTGTATAACGAATTTTTCGAGGTCCTATCATAGGACTCGTTCCCCTCGCTATCGGGGTTCTCTACTCGTCTACTACGAATGCTTTTCTGTTCCCTTGAACTTGGTTCTCGAGAGTTTAACCTATACTACATACCGATTGAAAATCGGTCTAAATTGCTGATTAACAGTAAAGTGCTGATTAAACTTATTGAGAGAGAAATTACCTTGAAACAAATGCCTCGCCGGTTGTTTTCGAATATAAGGCGGGAATCGGGACTCCCCAACAACGTTGCCTGGAAATACACCAGTACGGTCTGGATTTAAGTTGAGCCTTCATTCCTTGCTCCTGATTTCTTGGTCGAACTTGAATTTCATCAAGGACTTCCTAGAAATTTAATGGAAGGTGAAACGTGAGAGTCGGGCTTTTAAACTAAAATTTGCTGTGATGGTGTCACAGGAAATTGCCGCGAATCTCGTAAGAAAAATTAGAACAAAATTTAACAACAAATTCAAACAGGAATAGATTTCAACGACATAAATGCAGGAATGAATGACCAAACCCACCCCAAAAGCACAAGTTGACACATAACACAAATGAAAATTATGGCCATCAAAACTGACAGCAAAATTATTACGTGGCTTCCATCAGTCAATTATTCAGGCATTTGGTTTTAGAGGTAATACAAGTTCGTTAATTTTGTTGCAAGGATCGGTCATGTATACGGTACTTATTCTCAAGTTCTATTCTTCAGAAACGGTTTTTTCCGCATAATTTTCATAAGGAACAATAAAAAATAATAATCAACTCACCAAAGCCTGACTGCGCACTTTTTGGGTGTCGAAAAACCACTGCTGACTCGCACGGATGATAATTGGCGTCTTAGATCGCCAGTCATAAGGATAACTGTGCGTCAATTTTCCAACTTTCAAAACATCGTCTCCCAACAAGTTTAACACCACATCGTCAGCTTCACCTCCCAATACCTTTTTGGCCAGCAATTCCTGCACTGGACACTCGGGAACAAATTCTCCTTCTTCGTTGACGTAACATTCCTGGGAAACCAAAGATAAAGATTCCAAAAAACAGGATATTGATCTGGCAACGGTATTACCAGAGGCAGGCTGTGCTTCAGAGCCACTAGAAAGTCGTCATGGCCATGAGCTGGCGCAGTGTGAACAAATCCCGTTCCTTTGTCACTCGTCACGTGATCAGCAGCGAGAAAACTTCGCAATCCGCTCCTCTTCAGTGGAGGTGAATACTTGCATCCAACAAAATCCCGTCCTAAAAAACCATACAAACATTGATTAAAAGACTATTCAACAGTTTTGCGTGAACAACGAAATTAAGTTCTCCGATGAGTAACAACTTTTTACATTGAGAATCCTTTGAAGTATTGTGGGATCAATGAAACTCGATGCAATTCTCTGCTTATTTGCCAAATATTTTCTTATAGTTTTCTTATAACTGCATTTTAAAACTTCTTCTTCCTTCGCCGATTTACATTTTTCGGCAATCTTCAAATTCACCAACATCAACTAAAAATTTGCAAAGATTAAAACTGTTTTCCTTGGAACATAGTGGTTAGAAATGGGAAATATTTGCCAGCAATTATATTAGCAGCAATCTCTGAAACATGCTAGTTTCCTTTTTCTTTTATAAAGTGATGGGAAATACTTTCAACTTTCCGTCCCATTTTTCAACGTGTGCGAGAAATCTTCAAAAACTTGTGTCGGTAAAAAATCAAACATCACAATGAACAATATGTGCATCTGCATGCATCCAAAAAGACGCCAACGAGGGAGACAGAAGACTACAGTACTAGAATAGAACTTATGCAAAAACCCTCTCGAAAAAAAAATTAAATGACCACAAAAAAAAGGATGCATCAAAATTTCACCTTTGAGAATCAATCCAGGGATAATCTCGAAATTGATTCCGGTTTGCTCACTGATTTCTTCTACATTCTCAGCACCAGCAACATAAATTGATTTTTCTTTCGAAGAGTCGACGAGGAAAACGTAATCAGCATCTTCTTTAAAAGCAACAGCTTCATTTCCGGGTAAAGTCCAAGGCGTTGTTGTCCAAACAATCGCAAAGATGGCCTTGTTTCCAAATTTTGCAACCAAAG